GGTATCAAAAGCCGCTGAGAGGTCTAACAGGACCAGAACAGAGGAACAACCCCTGTCCCGAGCCCTCCAGAGATCATCAACCAACGCGACCAATGCCGTTTCTGTGCTGTGCCCAGACCTGAAACCCGACTGGAATGGATCTAGATAAGATGTTTCCTCCAGGAATTGCGGAAACTGTCGTGCGACCACACTCTCAACAACCTTCGCCATAAAGCGAAGGTTGGAGACAGGACGATAGTTGGCCAATATTGCCGGATCCAGGGACGGCTTCTTGAGGAGAGGCCTCACCACCGCCTCTTTCAAGGCGGTGGGGAAGTAACCCTCACTCAACGAAGCGTTGATAACACCCTGGAGCCAGCCTCGTGTAACCTCCCGGGAAGCCAGTACCAACCAGGAGGGACACGGGTCCAGTAAACATGTGGCCGCACTAAGTCTCCCCAAAATCCTGTCCACATCATCAGGAGTCACAGCATCAAACTCCTCCCAGATAACATTCTCAAGACTATTCATGCTGCATCCATATATATATATGTGTGTCGAAGTAGAGAAGAAGACACCAGTAGACAAGCGTTTTGTCTTGGACTTCAAAAATTAGGACACTTGAGTAAATGCAAGTTGAGAATCTCCTCTCAGTTCACCATTCCCTGCCTTAATAACTCTTGTACCCCAAAATGCTACGCCAAGTAAAGAGAATATTCACTCACTTTACAAGAATTTGCTACTTTTTAAACCCTGTGATTATCATGGGAAAGTGGCTCTCAGAAAGACTGCCTAGCTAGCAGATGGTCCCTCCTATTTTTTTTCCCATGGCAACCTTATTAGATAGATTAGATTGAAAGGAACTGCCCAAGGACTAAAGCTGTGTTTTTTCACTCAACTCAACTCTGATAGCACGTACACGCACAATAGCATTTCCCTCTCTCCATAACTCTTATAGTATTATATGCTTATGAGTAAGCATATTGCTTCTAATTGAGGTTACAGGCTTACTCTGTTGTGTGAACCCAAAGGGTCACCACTGTGGACTCTCATAAACTGTAATCACACTGTAATCTCAACTAAGTATAGGCTCAGTTTTCAGCAGGGAGCAATTTTAGGTCTGTAGAACATGGTAGATTTATGCTTGCTAACGCGTAAAACTGTGGCTTTATTTACACTCGCTGGTCAAGATTTGAACCTGGAGCTTTGTAATTAGATTGACAGCTGTATTTAAATCATTCCAGCCCCATTCAAACAATCTAGTATCCAGCATCTTCAGATATGTCCCATCCAGTGGTGAAATGTAAAATTTGTTGCTACCGGTTCTGTGGGCATGGCTTGGTGGTGGAGGTGGAGTCATGTGACTGGGTGGGCGTGGCCAACTTTTTTTTTTTTTTTACTTTTGTAAAGCATTTTTTTACCATTGGTTCAGGAGAATAGGTAGTAAAAACATGCTTTAAAAAAGTTTAAAAAAAAGTTCCGACAATCACAGCTGTGCTGCACGAGCTTTGGAACCTGTTTTTTTACTTTTTTAAAGCATTGTTTTACTACTTTTTCGCTGGAACCGGTAGTAAAAAAATGCTTTAAAAAAGTAAAAAAAAGTTCTGACGATTGCACGGCACAGCTGTGCTGCACGATAGTTGGAACCTTTGTTAAAACCTTTTTAAAGTATTTTTTTTTACTACCAATTGGCCCAAACTGGTAGTCTTTATCACTACTGGTTTGCTCAAACTGGAGCGAACCAGTAGCATTTCACCCCTGGTCCCATCCCCCTTCTGATACACAATAAAACAACATTTTTTTAAAAAAAAAATCACATTTCACCCGCAATAATATAATGACATGCATTGAAATAACTGTAAATGAAGAACTTTAATCACTAGATTTTGGAATAAATGTTTACTCTTGATTGAAGATGCTAACAATCAAAAATGGAGATCTTCCTATTGACCGACCAACAAAATTCCATATGAGATCATTATAATTGTTATACCAATTGTGATTGGGGCTCTCAGAGCAATACTTAAAGGGCTTCCCCAATAACTGGAACTATTGAATTTATTAGGCCCCAAAACCCTAATTTTACAAACAAACAAACAAGAGCCTTGGTGGTGCAGCGGACTAAGTGCTGTTATGTAGCACTTAGCAGCCAGCTGCCTGCAATTAATGCAAGTTCAAATCTCACCAGGCTCAAGGTTGACTCAGCCTTCCATCCTTCCGAGGTAGGTAAATTGAGGACCCGGATTGTGGGGGCAATAAGCTGACTTTGTAGAAACACCACTTATGGTGGGGCCAAAAGCCCTAATAAGCAGGTATATACAAAAGAATGAAGGCTATTGCTATAAGTGCATTGTAAACCACCCTGAGTCTTCGGAGAAGGGTGGCATATAAATTGAACTAATAAATAAATAAATAATAAAAACCCCAACCCATCCTGCTTGGGATTGGTTACATTCTTAGATGCTATCATCATCATTCTTAGATCCTTGGTTTGGGCTTGAATTATTATATTCAAGTCTTAAAGTGTGAATCTAACTGTAGTTTAACCCCCCACACTACTAATAATAGCAATGCAAAGGGACAATTTCAAAACTGCATAGAGCAACCATTCTTTTTAACTATTATTTTTCTATAAGTAGTAATAAGGGCCTCTTTGTCTTTCTCATTGTGTCCTTCCAAGACAGGGATGCGGTGGCTCAGTGGCTAAGACACTGAGCTTGTCGATCAAAAGGTCGGCAGTTCAGCGGTTCGAATCCCTAATGCTGCGTAACGGGGTGAGCTCCCGTTACTTGTCCCAGCTTCTGTCAACCTAGCAGTTCGAAAGCACTTAAAAATGCAAGTAGAAAAATAGGGACCACATTTGGTGGGAAGGTAACAGTGTTCCGTGCGCCTTTGATGTTGAGTCATGCCGGCCACATGACCACGGAGACATCTTCGGACAGCGCTGGCTCTTTGGCTTTGAAATGGAGATGAGCACCGCCCTCTAGAGTCGGGAATGACTAGCACATATATGCGAGGGGAACCTTTACCTTTACCTTTTCTTTCTCATTGCATCCTTCCAAGACATATTATACTTAAATAATTAGGCATATTATACCTGGCTTTCTAAGTGATCATGGCATACAGAAAATTCTTCGTTTCCTTATGTAAAGAGTGGATTTGCACACCCTAGAAATGGTACAGCAAGGTGACATTTAAAAACCCAGAAATCACGAGCATCGATTTTATCCCATTTTATTCACAAAACAGCCTCACCAAGATAAGCTAGAGATTGGCAAGGCAGCCTCTAAAAAGATAATAAAATGCATTTTCCATCGTAAAATAAACTCTGAGGCTGATCAGTGTTTGAGTCCACGAACCTGGTAAATGCTGCTTTAAATCCCATGATGGGATGGGAGGAAAAATTTAAAAAAAGTGGCTTGAAAAGGACCCAGATTGTGGGGGCAATAAGCTGACTTTGTATAAATATACAAAAGTATGAAGGCTATTGCTTAATGCATTGTAAGCTGCCCTGAGTCTCTGGAGAAGGCATATAAATCAATTTTTTTTTTAAAAAAAGTGTCTTAAATAATAAAAGCAATCACAGATACATTGGCCTAAGGCAGAGAGGGGCAAATCCAGAATCCATAGCTTGGGAAAACTTTTTAATCCCGAAATAGCATGAAAGGGACGGGCAAGCTTCCAAGTTCTGCAGAACTCATCATCAAAAAGAGAAGACACAATAGAGGCAGGAGAATTTCAAATCCGGAGGCTGCAAATTCAGACCTACACTTGCTGCTGCTTTTCTCTCTCTTCTTTGCGGGGATAATTTTTTTCAGTAGAGGGATAGTGATGGTGGCAGCATCCATGCCACCACGAAGAGCTCCAGGAGGTAGTTGATTTTTTATTTTGCATTTTGCTGGGTACCAATCAAGCCCCCCCCCCCTTTCACAGCGATGGGTTTTAAATAAACCGAGTGGCTTAAAAGCCTCTCTTCAAAAACTTTTTGCGGTTTGTATAGTTAGCTGAGCTGCTCCGAGATCTGGGTGGAAAGTTGTCAGGAGACTAATTGCACTTCCTTGTGTGTTTGTGTGTGCGTGCAAAGGACAGTTGGACCTGGGAGAGGGGGGGGGGCGGCAGGTTTTAGTAACGAGGGGGGCGAGCTTGTTTACCTGAGAAAGGGAAGCTGAACTCAACATTTCACAACCTTGGAAGATGAGCTAGCCAGCTCGGCTCCACCACCACTTTCACATGGTAATTTAGGAAAATTATACCTCCTCCAACTTTTTTTTTTTTTTTTAAACCTAGGGAAAACGTAGGTGAAATCAATGGCACACACGGGGGTCGACGGGCCTTCGCGGGGGTTCAAAAGAAGGGACTCCCCACATTTCTAAGAGACCTTAAAACGGGCAGAAGGAACCTCCAGAGGCTCATAATTCAGAACTCGATGTAACAGTAACAAGAGTTGGAAGGGGACCTTGGAGGTCATCTAGTCCACCCCCTCCTGGCTCAACGCAGGAGACCCATACTAGGGATTCGAACCGCCGGCCTGAACTCGGTTTATTCCGTCCGTCCGTCCGGATGGCGATTAAAACTTTTTGCGGGATACAGATGTCGCCTTCAACATCTGGACCCGGGGTAGACTTTAACCCCGGATCGATGAAGACTTTGGAGCTTCCCAAAAGGTGAAGTCTTTTGTCTTAGGGCCCCAATGAATTGACACACACTCACACCCAAGCACACTCACTTTGGTCTTCCTCCCCACCCCTCCCTTCCCTTCCCCACCCCTCTCCGGACCGAGGAGAAAACCAGGGGAAGAAAGGGCGCCACGTGGAGGAGCATCGCTGCGCCCTGTTTTCTAACCTGGGGCGGGGAGGACGGAGAGCGGGACCCAGCGGCAGCTGGGTTGGTCCCAGCCAGCCGTTTGGGGCGGAGGAAGCCTTTCCCACCCAGCCTCCCCCCCCGCCCCGGCCGCTGTCCCCGAGCGGAGGCCGCCTCCCTCCCTCCCTCTTTCGCCGCAGCCCAATTCCTCGCTACTGGGCGAGGAGGAGGAGGAGGAGGAGGAGGAGGAGAGGGGGGAGCAGAGACGCTCGAGGAGAGAAACGCCCTAGCAAGACGAAAGGGAAGGCGGAAGGGAGCGAGAGCCGCGGCCGGAGCCCATCAGGGCCGCGCTGAAGAGCCCGGGCGAGCGAGCGAGCGAGCGAAGGAAAGCAAGCGGGTACCGCAAAAGAAAGTCAACCCAGCCGGCCAGCCAGTCTTCTCCGGCCGTCTTGGCGCTCGGGAGAAGCGCCTCGCCGTCCAAGGAGGGGGGAGCCCAGGCTTTCCCTTCCTCCGCCGAGGTCCCTCTGCCCCCTTTCCCCTCGCCCGGCTTCCAGGCTCCCCCCCTTTTTTTTCCCACCATGAAGGCGGCGGGCGACCCGAAGCCCACCTTGACCATCATCAAAGCCGAGAAGGTGGAGGTGGATCTCTTTCCATCCCCCGGTGAGTCAAGTCAGTCGCTCGCATCGCCTGCCCCGGCTCTACCTTTCAAGCCGTGGCCAATTCTTTCTTTCTTTCTTTCTTTCTTTCTTTCTTTCTTTCTTTCTTTCTTTCTTTCTTTCTTTCTTTCTTCCTCCTCTTCCTCTTCCTCCTTCTTCTTCCTTTTTTTTTAAAAAATTTGATTTATATGCCGCCCTTCTCCGGAGACTCAGGGCGGCTTACAATGCGTTAAGCAATAGCCTTCATCCTTTTGTATATTTATACAAAGTCAGCTTATTGCCCCCATAATCTGGGTCCTCATTTTACCTACCTTTGAAAGGATGGAAGGCTGAGTCAACCTTGAGCCTGGGGAGATTTGAACTTGCAGTAATTGCAGGCAGCTGGTCTTAATAACAGTGCTTTAGTCTGCTGCGCTACCAGGGCTCTTCTCCTTCTCCTTCTCTTTCTCCTTCTCCTTCTCCTTCTTCTTCTTCTTTCATTTTTGCTACCTTTGATTCACAAACTCTCCTTTTCTTTCCTGACTATCAGCGGCTCTGGGAACCCCCCAATCCCCATTCTCTCTCTCTCTCTCTCTCTCTCTCCCCCTTTCCTCCACTCCTTGGGGAGGATGCTTGCTTCAGTCCTGGATCCTTTTCGCTTCTTGACAAGGGAAAGGGTCCATCTTGGTCCTCAGCTTTGAACTGTATTTGTAAATTTATGGGGTTTGGGGGGAAGGAAAGGAGGAGAAGAAAAAGAAGGATGATGGAGAGAGATTGAAATGTCCTGCAGGCATCACCGCGGTTGTGTCAAATCTGCTTTCTGACGCTTCTCAACCCACCTCTGCTCCTTGCTACTAGGTCAAAGAGGAGGCGATTGGGGGGGTGGTGTCTCAATTGGGTGGAGTATGGGTCGGGGGATCCAACGACCTCCTGCCTCCAGAAACCTGGAGTGTGTGTAAGATAATATCTGCGCCTTTTATTGACAATTGTACCCTATTCTCCAGACCTTGTGTTCTCTCTCTGGCCTCCATCATGATTGATTGATTGATCGATCGATTGATCTCTCCCTGTCTCCTCTCCTTCCCTCCCCCCATGTTTCTGTCTGTGCGGAGGTGTAATACAATTCAGGCATGTGGTTTGAAGAAACTTAATAGATCTGGCCCGGGGTGTTTGTGTGGGCTTAAAAGGAAGCTGATTTATACTGCAAAGAGATCTTTGCTGAAAAGTTGCCGATTGGACTTCCTCTACCATAAACTCGAGGTGCCAGGAGGAGCTCCTTTTCAAGGGGAAAACCAGGGGAAGGATGCAAGAAGATATATCAATTTAATAAATGATTAGATTTAATAATTCAGAGGCTTTCGTTGAACTCTATTGTCCATTGAGTTGTGAGCATATTCAAAGAAGGTGAATCAGAATTTAGATTCTCATTAAAAAAACCCATGAATTGCATTGATACCGTGTTTCCCTGAAAATAAGACCGGGTCTTATATTATTTTTTGCTCCAAAAGATGCATCCAAAAGATGCATTAAGGCCTTATTTTGGGGGTCTTATTTTGGAGGAAATACGATACTAAATGCACCATCTGGCTGACAATCTTAACTGGGGCTTATTTTGTGGGGTAGGGCTTATATTACAAGCATCCTAAAAAATCATGCTAGGACTTATTTTCCGGTTGGGTCTTATTTTCGGGGAAACAGGGTAATGTATGGAGATTCTCAACCCTCCAGGTCATGGTTGTCCCAAAAGTGCTTTTCAAAAGACATCTGGACATTTTTTTCCCTTGAGAAAGAGGTTTCCCTTCTCATCCAAGAAGCTTCTTCAGTTCTGATGTTTTTTCAGTTCAGAACTGAAGAAGCCTCTTGGATGAGAAGGGAAATGCTTTCAAAGAAAAAAACACACATACACCAAAGTTCAGTTGTCTTTTGAAAAACACCTTTGGGACATGGATAGTGTATAGAATGCAGGAGGAGTCTACTCAAAAGTAACTCATTTGAATCCAGTAGAATTGATTTCCTCCAGTTGGGTTGCAGCTTGGGCGCCCTTAAGTCAGCAATTTCTTTTTGGCCCTTCTAAATAGGGCAAGCTCTTGTTTTTGCCAGAAAAAGATGAAGCTGTAATGCGTGAGGTATCTAGAGAATGTGGATCCTTCCAGAGATTTAAGGGAGATCTAGGGATGAGAAAATTCTGATTCAACTTTCTTGACCTTTTTCACGTAACATTTCTACATACGCCTCTAAAAAAAAAAGAGCCTTCCTAAATTTACTCCCCTTCCTAAGTGGGCCTTTACCCAAGCCAAAAATACAATGTTTTGTTTGCCTTGGGAAGAAAATAAGTTAATGATTAGGTCTTATTTGGGTAGTTTTCCCCTTTAAGATATAAATGCTTAACACTCTTGGAGGGTTTCAGCCAGTTTTTCTTTTTTCTGTGGTCAAGTAAATATCTCAGCTATTCCCCCCCCCCAGTCATTATGGCAGAATACTGTTCCTAGATTGTTTGTAACTCCCACCCCCAGCCTCAAAGGCTGGGAAAACTATGATGAAAGAGAAGGGAGGGGAAGAGAGAGAGGAGAGAGTCCAGCCCTTGATGCTATCTTGTGGAGATGATTTCAGGAGCATGTTGCTATGCTACTGGGACCATCAATAACTTTAAAGGCTCACGTTAATGCTAAGCCCAATCTTGGTGCATTACTGGGAAGATCTGCATTCTTTTAACCTTAGGTGACTTTGCAAGCTCTGAAGGTTAAGGGTTCTGCTACTGTACTGGATTCCTAGAAAGAAAACAGTATTTAGAGTTTCCTTGATCAAGGAAAAGGCTAAGCCCAGCTACATTCCCCTGGTGAGGAAAGGATTAAACCTCAGCATTCAGAGGTTGAATGTCTTCTTCTTCTTCTTCTTCTTCTTCTTCTTCTTCTTCTTCTTCTTCCTCCTTCTCCTCCTCCTCCTCTTCCTCCTCCTCCTTCTCCTCCTCTTCCGCTTCCTCCTTTTCCTCTTCTTCCTCCTCCTCTTCCTTTTCCTCTTCTTCTTCTTTCTCCTCCTCCTCCTCTTCCTCTTCTTCTTCCTCCTTTTCCCCTTCTTCTTCTTCCTCCTCCTCCTCCTTTTCCTCTTCCTCTTCCTCTTCCTCCTTTTCCTCCTCTTCTTCTTCTTCTTCCTCCTTCTCCTCCTCCTCTTCTTCTTCTTCCTCTTCCTCTTCTTCCTCCCCCTCCCCTCCCCCTCCCTCTCTTGAATTTTAAAGCAACCACTGTTTAATGGACTGTTTAATGTCCTAGCAAATTGGGGGTGGATGGGTAGGGTGAAACAAGTGATAATTGGAAGTCATAACAGGATTTGTACCACCATTGGTTCATCAGAACTAATCCTTTCATACCCCACCATTCAGTTAGAACTGATGAAGCTTCTTGGATGAAAGGGGAAACCTCTTCATCCTCAAGGGGGAAAAAACATTTCTTCCTCAAGAAAAAAAATCAGTCCAATTGCCTTCTGAAGAAAAAAAACCCAACAGCACATTTGAGGCTACCAAGACATTGCTTTCCAGTCAATGAATTTGCAACATAATTTTGCAAATGCAGATGCTTATAAGGCATTGTAAAAATAGATGTTCCTTAAAAAGAAAGGAACAGCACCACCAAATACACAAATGCAATTGTTACCTTGAATTGGAAGGTATTAAATATCTTGTGAATCTATAGAATGTTCTTAAATGAAGAATAGAAGAATGTTGAATTGTAAAAGGGCAACAACTGTTTTCCAAAGGAGACATTCTTTGGTTTTTTATATGTTGATTATAAGGTTATGGAGTATTAAAAACAGAAATAAACCAAAAGCTTCTTTTGCATAAGATTAACAGATAAATGAATTAGGAAGACTTCAGTTCAGACCTTGCCATCATCTAGTTAGCAATGTCTGAAAACTCTGACACAATATATACATCTTTAATAACTATTTAGTAATTATTAAACCCACCCTTGTAAATAAGTCTCCAGATTTTAGCATTTGCAAGGATCTTTACTAGCTTGCTTACCTACATGTAACTGTGTTAGTCATTTGTGGCATATTAACTGCTTGGAAAAGGTGAGTGAAGAAGAGGAAAATTCTAAAAAAACAAAAAACAAAAGAAAGAAAAGATTATTTCAGTTTTCAAAAACATACTGACTTCTTCACCTGAAAAAGATGAAATGCATCAGTCTGTTAGCAAACAGGGAATAGACCCCTTCAGTAGAATCTCTCTCTGAGTTCCTGGTAGTCTTCCCCTGATCAGAAGATTCAACTGAAGACAAATGGCTACGGAACAGTGATAAGCATGAGCATTTTGCGTAGTAGGCCTAACTGTTGGGTTGTTAGTGAGTATCCTGTGAGCCAAGATAGTAGACTTTAATCAGATGAACCTAATATCTAGTCTTTTTTTAAAAAATATTTTTTTATTATTTTTTTCTTTAAAAACAAAAAAGAAAAGCTTCTATTTTACAACAGTTCCATATCAGTGTATATCCACAGTTTATGTTCCCCCACTCCTACACATTCACATATTTATTTTTGTGGTTCCCTTATTCCTTATATATTGTATATACTACTCCTTACTTATTATACATACTATTATATCTATATATTACTTTACATCAGGGGTGAAATCCAGCAGGTTCTGACAGATTCTGGAGAACCAGTAGAAGAAATTTCGAGCAGTTCGGAGAACTGGCAAATACCACCTCTGGCTGGCCCCAAAGTGGGGTGGGAATGGAGACTTTGCAATATCCTTCCCCTGGAGTGGGGTGGAAATGGAGATTTTGCAGTATCCTTCCCCTGCCACGCCCACCAAGTCACGCCCACCAAGCCACACCACGCCCATAGAACTGGTAGTAAAAAAAATTTGGATTTCACCACTGCTTTATATACATTGTATATTTAATCTCTAGTCTTAAAATGTCTCTTAGTGACCCTCTAAGTATTGTCACTGAAATATAACTTTTAACGGGAAAGAAGTGATTGAATGCACGGATAATTATATCCATTGGCATAGCAATACAGAGACTT